GATATTGATTTAAAATACAGTGAAAGTGTCCTATGATTTCGGTCCTATGTACATATTTTGGGTTTCCTACTTAGTAAAACTTGGTAAATCCAGGACCTCATAAAAATGCGAATATACATTCTATTACATTTGGTCCCTAAATTACAATCAGATATGAAGGTAGGGCTTTCTTCAGGTGATTCATTGAAGCGTCCAACAATGACCGTCATGATGGCTGATATTCCCTATCACTTCAATATTTCTAGGGCACAAATCTTGGATGGTTGTGACATCACTCATGAAATTGAAACTCCTTGTGATCTGCACTGAAGCAAACGTGAAGCTCCAGTTTAATTGTTATATGTTTTGTGAGAACTTATATTTCAAGCTGAAAATTGCATTAGGTCTCAATTAACATGGATTGATTCTCTTCATTGACTTTCTCTTTATGATGTGTTTGTCGTATTAGATGCTAGATAAAAGCTTGTTTATCGATCTGTGTGCTGAAAATACCTGGAAATGTCTTTACATGGCCGAGGGGATACAAGGAGAAAGTCGACGAAGAGAATATTGTCAATATTACTTAGGACCTAATGCAATGTTCAGCTTGAATTGTTTCGCTTAGCTGTAGCAATGTAAATAGATGGAGGGAATCGAGCATTGCAAGTAGGCCCTTTTGAACGCTCACTGTCGAATTTCAATTCCTAGTACTGAAAAAAAAAACTCGACGGTACCTCTATTTATGCTAAGAGATAAGCAAAGCAATCGAACGGCCTCGTTATGCCGTTATGGGATTTTATAAACCTTTCTATAGCATAATTTTCCAAGTAGGATAGACTTCATAGCTTATCTAATTTCAGTGCTTGGTACAGAAATCAGTAATCTTTCACTAAACGCACATAATCTTTAAAAAAAATCAATGTTTAGTTTTTTTTCTATTCAAGCAATAGATAAAATATGTACCGAGAATTAAATGGAGGGATTTCAAGCTAAAATATTCTGATCGCGAGATATTCACGATCAATACCGAAATTTCGCATAAATGGCCAACCCGTTTTGTGTGTGTGCTGCTGATTTTCACTGTTGCCCAATGCTTAGGGAACTTTCATAAATAACATAGTAGTTGAGGATGGTGAGGGGGGGGGGGGTTTCAGAAGTTGTGACCGGCCATGTATTAGGTATAGCGAAACACGCTACGAGGGGGAAGGGGGTTAATTGGTAAAAAAAAATTCTACGTCATTTATGGATGGTCCCTAATTTTACGACTCGCGGTTAAAAGTGACATCAGTTATCGAGATGAGTTATAACTTTCGAAATCGAAATGCCACGTTTAACCACGAGTTAAAGTTAACTCTGCAATTGGGACACAGCCCAAGAGTATTTCTCGATTACTTTTTCGAAGGGACGTATCAGCTTTTGTAAACAACGCATTTGATAGTCGATTTGGCTTAACTGGTAGCTCACCCACACATGCTAACACCACCATTAGATAGGAGAAACTTTCCCCTACCTGATATAGTGGTGTTAGTAGTATGCGTGGGCGAGCTATAAGCGACGCCAAACCGACGATAAAATGCGTTGTTTCAGGGTGGCCAGCAAACCGGGAAAACCGGGAATACCGGGAAATATACGGGAATTCGAAAAGTAACCGGGAAAAACCCGGGAATTCGATCATAGAACCGGGAAAAATAAATTAACCAGACACTTAGAAATAATTAATTTTACACGTGACGGAATCCGTCTTTGACACGAAAGGTGAGACGTAAACAAACATGTCATGTAATATTAAGTGCTCCGAGATTGAAAATTTCGTTGCTCGACGAAAGGTACGTTTGATTGAGCTACATTTCGCCTCTGTTATGACTCAAATTTATGTCAAAATTGACGCTCGTATATGTCACTCTCAGAGCACCTAAATTTACATGATTTTTTCTAAGTGTGCATGCAAAGAACAAATTTTTGCAACAGATTTTCAAAATAAACTATTAAGGAGTGATTCTTTACCAAATGAATGTCTTGCTCTATTTGCTGCATCATTTTGTTCAGTTTCCCGTCTTATTGTTTTTTTTAAATTTAATCACTCAGCAATATTTCAAATTGATTTTTGTCGTGCATGGGCTGAAGATGCTGGACTTTGGAAACAAATATTTGTAAAAATCGAAACTGAACTATTCCGGGGTTTTAATTTTTCGTTATTCAAAATTCTCATGATATGAATTCCAGAATTAACTTGGAATCCTTCTCTGGATCCTTTGAAATTCCTTTCAAAATTTTCTTTTAACTCTATTCAAAGCAGCAGAAATCTTCCGAAATGTTATTTGGAAACCCCTTGGAGTATTTTAAAGAATGTTCTTCTAATTATCAGCAATTTTTTGCAATGCAAAAAGCTCTGTAATGACTCTTTCATACTAGGGTTAAAATTATCCCCGGAACACTCTTAGAACTCTGTTTATTCATAATAATTATCTTGAAATTCTTCTTAAAATTCATCTGTCATTTTCTCACGATCCCCATACAAATCTCCTCAGAATCACGTAGGAATTTTTCTTAACGTTTTTTTTCACAACTCGTTTTGATATTAATTTAGAACTTGCATTCTTCTGCACAGAAATCCCTCCAAATTCATCTAACAATTTTTAAGGATTTCATGTCAGAATAATTCTGGAATTCTGTTCAGAACTTCTCCTTCGAAAATTATGTGGGAATCCTCCTTATTATTTGTTTGAATTCAACATTTTGAACACTTTTAACTTTTAATAAAAGTTCTAGGGTTTGTCCGCAAGATTCTATAGATTGTTCTGTGATTTTTTTGAATATGTAGGTACATAAAGTGACTCATAGAGTTGAATTTATACTTTCAGTTTTAATAAATACTTTGTGTAATTTTGCTTTTATTTTCCCCACAAATAATTTCCGAAAATGTACAGTTTGTCGCGTTGTTAAAAATGCGTACAATTTCGTTTTTTGTTGAATATTAATAACCGGAAATTTTTTAAGATTCGAACCGGGAAAACCGGGAAAAAACCGGGAATTTCAAAATGAAAATTCACTGGCCACCCTGGTTGTTTATAAAAGCTGATAATGTCCTTTCGAAAAAGTAATCGAGATTTGTAGAACGCGGGATCGTTATCATTCAGGCAAGGAGGTTGATCCACTTCGGAGCGTTTGCGCCATCGAGGCGACGGCGCTGCCAGTAGCCAGTGATCTCGACAGGAACGATGCGTAAGATTCGAGGTGCAAAACACGCTTGACAGGAACCGCTGCCTTCCTACCTACCTGCTCACCCACGGTCCGAAGCGCAAATACGTTGAGGCATAAAAGCAGCGCTGTTTTATAACTTTTCAGATTCAAGCAGCACGATGTGCAACCAAATGGTACTCGATTATGACGACTGGGTTTGGGGAGAACGTTTATTTCATGAAAACAGTGATAAAAAGATAACTTTTTATATGTACAACAGTTATTTTATGAAAAATTGGAAAAGCATGTATTGTAGCAGATTTTGAGAGTTATTTCCTATCGATAGGTGTATTTGGATTTAAATTTCATCTATAAACGACAAAGTTAAAAGCGTTCAAAGCCTTACACCTTTTCGTGACGGTCGCAATTTTAGATTTTCGATTTACCCCCAGTAGCTTCCCGTAAAGACGTAGTCGACGTCAAAAATGTATAACTTATTTATATTAAACAAAATGAATCGTGACCATGGTGGGTACATGGTGATACAGCTTTGTCATTATATGGGTGAGGAGATCGCGGGGGGGGCGGGGGTGTGTGCGGTTTTAGAGCAAATTGTAAACAAACTCGGTCGCTGTCCCATACAAAAATACAACATGGCTGAATCATGAATTTGACACATTATAACACCTATATGTAGTCACCTTGATCGAGACGAACTTGTCAGCACTGAAAAAGGAAACATTTCATACCAAACTGCGCGGACAAGTCACGAATGACCCAAGAGCGTTAAAATTAATATAATAAAACAAACCAAACAAACATACCAAACAGCTGTCAAAACATTCCAGATCCGACTGCTAGGAGCACTGCAGTAAAATAAACATTGCGTCCAGATATAAAATGGCTCAAGCTATAGTGGTTAAATGAGCAAAACAGCTGGCTTTACCCTCCTTCGGTTGCGGCAGTCCCAATAATCCCTGTTTAAATATGGTATTAGTTTTGAATCTTCAAACGCTTGGGCAATTTACTTACATGCCTATTCAGGCAGAACTAAACACCTCTTGAGCTTTTGAAAATTTCGGGGTGGTCTTCAGAATTCATTCTTTTATGTCTTCTCAGTAGTGTGATCGGAATAGAAGTGAACAGACCGAAGAAAAAAACCGTTTCTAGATAACATAAGCAGGTTACTACAGTTTATAACCTCTTAAAATCACGATTATTTTATGTTTCCATAGTAACCAATGGAATATTTGTTCCTCGGTCTCAATTTGAATAAAAAAACATTAAATGTTGATGAACACATGCTCCTTGTTAAAAAGCAATGTACGCTCTTGATAATGAAACAATTAATTATAAAAAGAAACAAAAGCCAAAGTACGAATTATTTTTTTGAGTTAAAAGAGGGAGCATTCCAAAAAATGAAATATGTTAATTATTTAGAAAATTCCGAAATCAGTACTATTCGAAAGAACTGCTCAGAAGGAAGCATTATATTTGAATAGCTTGCCAGGTTGAAAAAATCGAACCTTCTTAATCTTTTCTCGAGACTGATTTCAAAATTAACTGAGCTTTGAGAAAAGTTCAAAGTAAATAAAAAAAAAAACTTAATACATTGTTATATGGAAAATTTGTTTCGATCAAAATGGAATGTGGGTGTTCAAAGATGTACCCAATATCTTCCGGAGCAATAAATGACAAATACATCGGCAACGGCATTAATTAAAACTAGAAATCGATTAACAACCCCGATTCAAACCAACCAACACCAGCATCTAGTAGCGATGAAACATCCATGGCATTTAATTTACCGGTGCTATTTTTTTTTCTCTCGTTTCCTCTAGGAAGCCTCAAGCACCGATACGCCGGATACGTGACCACCAACGATCACTATGCCCCCGTAACGCCCAAATCGCCGATGTTCGGTTTGGATTGCGAAATGTGCAAAACCAGCATCGGCGCGTCGGAACTCACCCGCGTGTCCATTATCGACGAACAGGGTAACGAGTTCTATGAATCATTGGTCCGACCGTCGAACAAAATCGTCGACTATCTAACTCCATTTTCCGGCATCACGGCGGAAATGATGAAAAACGTTTCGAAAACGTTACAAGATGTTCAGAAGGATTTGCGGAACAAACTTCCACCGGATGCGATTCTGGTGGGTCAGTCGTTGAATTTTGATCTGCACGCATTAAAGATGATGCACCCATACGTAGTGGACACCAGTATCCTGTACAACGTCACGGGAACGGCGGGAACCAAGAGTAAGCTGAAAGTATTGGCACAGAAGTTCTTAAAGCAGAATATTCAATGCTCTTCCGGAGGACACAATTCGATAGAAGATTGTACGGCTTCTTTGGAGTTGGTGAAACTGAAACTGGCTAAGAACATCTATTACGGCGATCAGTGGCTTCAGGACCGCCGAAATTATCACAAAAAAGTCAGCAGCAAGATAGGAATCGCTACGCCGGAAGAGATTCAACGTCTCGGTGAAAATTCCAGTACGACCGAAATCACGGCTACACTGTTTGGGCACGCCAGGAAGAAGAACAAGAAATCGGCCATTATAACCAATGGGGATAATTTGGACAACTTCAGCGGTTATTTCGGCGAAGCCATTCAGGCCAATAGGGATGTGAAGAAGCTACTCAGCTTCCAAAAGCTGGACTGCGACCAGGAGGTCATTGAGCACACCGTCGAAAAGTGTCTCAATTATGATTTCAACTTAAGCTGCATTCAGCTGAAGGATGAGCATTTGACCAATGTGGACACTAAACGGGAAAAAATTGAGCAGATCGATGGATGGATCCGGAAGTTGTTCGGAGGAATTTCGGTGAACGGATTGCTGGTGGTACTGCTGGCTGGAGGGGAAGTGAATGATCGGAGCAAGATGGCGGTGGCGATGATTCAAACCAGGAAGGGATGATTGAGCGAGCGCGAGTCAGAAGATGAAAATTTTATATGAAGGGTGTTGATATTTTTTTATTCGTTTCGTTACACGAAAATAAAAGAGAGCAATGTTCTATGTGCTGTTAATTCTGTTGAATTCTTAAATCAGCGTGTTTTGTTAGCTATAAATTGGGATTCCAATGCACATTTTTGGGCTGTAGAGTAGTCCGCCTCCCCGCGGTGCAGCCTGGGTAACGCTAAATGGACTACAACCCTGGGTAGCTCTCTGAGGGCTAATTTCCCTATGGGGAATAAATCCTACTAAACTTCAGGATGCAACTGAACGTTTCGGCCCACTCGGCAATGTGACTTTGGAGTTGATTATCGCTTATATTTCAATCAAGTAAATATACCACTCTGATGCCACAACGAGTGATGTGGTCACTTTAGGTAACTCCATAGTCAACAGAGAATCGGACCGGAACCTTCAGCTTCATCGATGCTTCCTGTGGATTGGAACGACCAGAAAGGCACTAATAGCGCTTCTTCATGTTTTCATCAACAGCTGAAGGCATATAACTAGCAGCCATGAGTGTACCCGTTGCCGAAACTAACGCAGCTGAGGGGCAGGTTCAAGAAGTGGAAGTAATGCAGGAACCGTCCACAGATTCCGATGAGGTACTACAAGTGAATGAACACCGTTCGACTTCGATGGAGGTGGATTCACACACGGAATGCGGCCGCTCAGATAGCCAAGCAGTCGTTTAAACCAAAAGCGATGCGTGAGAAGTATATAGCGAAACCGGATTCTTCCAGGAAAAGATCATCCAACTGGACGAAGAGGTCTGGTCGGTGATAAAGAACGGCTATGCCGAAAAAGATGCCCTTAGATTGGCTAGTGAGCCAATCAACACATCCAAGCGCAATCTACCGACCGAAACGATCATCAGAAGCCACAGGATTATTAGTAATGACAGTCGTTGCCACAGACTATCCCAAAACATTCCTAACCAACGCACTAATCAGCGGCGGAGACTGAAACTACCAATGGAGTGGCAATACCGGATTCAATTCGAATAGATCGCCTCATCACTACAATGCCCAAGGTAATCGTAGTTTCTCCACAAGGTCGAGCTTCTACTAGAATGAAGTAAGTATTTTCATATTGGTACCTAATTGATGTGATTATCACCTTGCAATGCATTATATAATTCCGCACTACTTGGACACAAACGATACTGAATACATGGTCTCTAAATACATTAACTAAGCGGCACCGGTGGTGTAGTGGTAAGCGTGATTACCTCTCACCCCAGCAGGCCCGGGTTCAATCCCAGTCGGCGCCGCCGGGATGTTCTGAGGCATAATATCTCTGATCACGCCTTCCTTCGGAAGGGAAGTAAAGCCGTTGGTCCCGGTTCATGAGTTGATGGATCCATAGGTACTTTAGCAATAAAACCGTTCCCGTAAAAATTGGGCTGTAGCGTAGTCCGCCTCCCCGCGGTGCAGCCTGGGTAACGCTAAATGGACTACAACTCTGGATGATCCCCTCCTCATCAACTCCAAAGCTTTTCGCTTTGGACGACGGGGAAATTCCAGTCGCGGGCAACCGTGAAGCTTCGTTTCGGATCGGGATCGCTTCCATCCGGCGAATGAAGCGTCTTTCTACTTTTAGTTTAGGAATAGGAACATATAGGTGCAACTAAACGTTTCGGCCCGCCCCCTTGCCAACGGGACTCTGGAGTTATTTAAGTTAATTTTTCTTTGAATGGTTCGCTAGGATATCATGGAAGGACGTTCAACTCGTTCGAGCTTAAGTCGTGGTACTAAGTTAAGACAAGTTCGACGTTCCTTTTTAGTTATTATTTCAGCTATAAGGTGATTTTAGTTCATTAGGTACAATGGTGTAGTAAGTTTTTCAAAATAGTTCGATAATAACCGGAGAATGTTTATTTTTGATGATCTACATTTTTTAATGGTACCACTCGGAAAAAGAATGTACATGAACCATGTTGAAAAAGTTGTGTGATCCAGACGAAACGACTGCAAAACTGCATCGTTAGTTTGTTGTCTTAGTGTCGCAAAATCTCGGCTCACCACCTTGATTGTGATGCCTGTGTTAGGGAAGCTTGCCTTCGGCTTCGATGCTAAATGACGTAGCCTCTGCTTAGTGATGCAGTTTCCAATCGTTAGTTTTTATGCTTGGAATTGATGGTTCTGTTAGGGAAATCACCTCATGAATGTCATGTTTCCTACGATAGATATCCTTTTTCTATGTTCTCCAATCTGCTCGTGACCTAAATAATTCCAGAATGTCAACAGAGACTCGGACCGGAACCTTTAGTCTCATCTATCATTTCTTGGATCGAACCGATCAGAATGACACTAATGTCGATTATTCCTGTTTTCGCCTACAGCAGAATTCATATAACTAGCAACCATCAACCATGAGTACTCCAGTTGCCGAAACTAAGCCAGCTGAGGAGCAGGTCCCGAAAGAGGAGGTAAAGGAGGAAACTTCTACAACTACTTCTGAGGAGGTACAGATGAAAGAGGTGAAGAAAGAGGCTACTGCGGAGCCTTCAACTGCAGCGGAACCTTCGACTACCGCGGAACCGTCGACTGCTACGGAACCTTCGACTACCGCGGAACCGACTACTGCGATGGAGGTGGATTCCTCGCAAACCGAAACGAAACCCGAAGCTACTTCCGGCGAAGAAACCAAGCCAGAAGTCAAAGCTAACGGTGCTACGAGCGATGCCAAGGCGAAGATTGACAATAAGCTTCGCCTGAATGGTGCCGCCCGGAAGCGTTTCAGATGGTTGCTAGATCAGGGCTACACACGGGAAGAGGCCGCCCAGCTAGCCAAAGAACCGCTGAAGACTAAAGAACTGCGTGACCGGTTCAATGCCGATACTAAGAAAGTCGGCAAAGCAGAACAGGTCGATGTGAAGGTAGATGAAGAACTCAAGAACCTCAGTGGCGCAGCGAAGAAGCGGTTCAAGTGGTTGTTGAAGAACGGCTACACCGAAAAGGAAGCGCTCAAATTGGCTCGTGAGCCAATGAATGCTATTGCATCCAAGCGTAATTTGTCGACGAACGATGGTCCGCCGAGCAAGATATCGAAACCAACACCCGAGGTCGCGGGAGGTATAGTGATGGCAGTCGCTGCCAAAGACTATCCAACAACGTCTCTAACCAATGCGCAAACTAACGCGGTCAAATCCGCTATCCTGAAGGAAGTTGTCCAGCAGAAGGACTCTGAACTAAAGCCTCGTTTCGAGAGCTGTGTTCACGTCAAGGGATATCTGCGGGTTCACTGCTCGGACCAAGAGACCCGTCAATGGCTTCAACGTGTCGTAACTAAACTGACCGTTCCCGAGGGCATTAACCTAAAGGTGGCCTCTGAGAAGAACCTTCTCAAGGGTGATATTTACACTGGCTATTTCACCGACAGTCGTGGCGATACCAACGAGGCAATTTTGGAATTTGTTGAGAGCCAGAATGATGGCATAAACACTTCCAAGTGGAAGATTCTTACCCGTAAGGAGATTCAGAACAAGCAGACGATTGAGCTGATGTTCACTGTGGATCAAGCATCCGCTAAGAGCATCCACAATCTTGGCTACGAGTTGAATTACAAGTTCAACAAGATCAAAATCCGCAAGCAAATCAAAGCATCTGACAAGGCACCGGTAGTTGCCAACAGTAATGTCCGTATGGCTAGAAACATGGCTCCTCCACAGAGGGAGAGAAGAACCTTCAACCAACCGAGACCGATTTCTTCGGGTTCGTTCGTGCCCATCTGGGACAGCAATTTGCCTCAGAAGCGCGCTGGAAATAATTTCAATCAGTTCGACAATCCGCGCAACTCCGGTAGCGGAAACGGCTGGAGTAACGGAGGAAACTCATTTGGCTTGGGTGGTGGAGGCAGTGGCTCCTTTGGAATGAACAATGGAGGTAACTCTTTCGGAGGCTCCAACTCCGGAGGCAACGGCGGTCGTTCCAACTCCGGAGGCAACGGCGGTCGTTCCAACTCTTTCATGGGCTCCAATAGTCGTTCAAACTCCTTCGGGGGCTCCAACAACCGTTCCAACTCCTTTGGAGGTTCCAACAACCGTTCCAACTCCAACAGCAACTCCTTCGGAATGGGCGGTGGTCGTGGTGGAAACCAGTCGAACAGTAACCGCCCATTCGATTTGGTCGACAGTCTGTACGATCAGCTGAAGCTCATCGGTGGCACTGGCGGCAATAACGATAACAACAATGGCAACGGCTATGGATCAACACGCCGCAGTGGAGGCAATAATAACGGTGGCGGCAGCAACCAATGGGGTCGAAATACTTCGAGTAATTCCTCCTTCTCCGGTCGTAGCAACAGCGGTCTGGGTAACCGAAACTTCTTCACTACGACAAGATCGGGTTTCTTTTAAGAAGGAACGACAGTATTTTGACATTGGTGTGAATTTTTGTCTATTGTTCATTACATAACTCATACATAAATATTTGAACACAAGTAAATACTGAATACATGAACTTTGAATACTTGAACTAAATAAATACATAATGTAAGTGTAAGTACAAACGTGAGTGACTAATTATAAAATCCGAACTGTCTATCTGAACTGGCTTTTTGAAGTCCTCTAAACTTTTCCCTGAAGTCCACACCAGTCATATCCTCGAAGTCTTCTGTATGTGTGTGTATTCCCTTTAACCCCCACTGGTCGGCAGTGTTATTATGGAAGAACTTTCTCTACAATGTCGCATTTATGGTCGTTGTAGACAGCTTTAGTCCGGGAGTTAGAAGGTGATAGCCTTATTGCAGATCCAGCAACCCATTTCAGAATATCTGGAGATTCACGCCCATTCCGAGGTTACTTTCACTCACAATAAGCCCAGCATGTATTCATCACCGTTATCAAATGGATATTGGTTATACATACACACTTCCAGGTTCGAAAATATTTCTTTCAAACCTGGCATGTAGGGGAAATGGCTCTAATGTTGGCTCACGGATCTATGACTCGGCCCATTGCTATCAATTTTATCTAGATGAACGCGTCATTGAGACGGTATTAATGAATATTTTTGGTCGCTATTGAAAATTTAGTCGATTGCTGAATTTATGTATGGGCCCAAATTAGGGGCATTTAGGCCGACATTACATCCATTTCCCCTATTTAGTTTAATTTTGCCGTTAGTTCCAACTCCAAGGGCAAATGCAATCTGTTGGCTGCTGCTGGTGACAACCTACAGCATTGACATTCAAAAGTTGCGTTTGGCTTGGTTTTCTGGCAAGACATATTCACCTTTTTAGTAGTAGTGTTAGCACAGAACAAACAGCATTAATTACGCCTGATCGATTTACATGTAATACTTACCATGCGCCTCCTCAGGTTTTCCACCACTAATTTGCCCCATAATTCCATATAAATCAAAATAGACTCTCCCCTCTCATCGTATCTCCAGCACTCACTCTCTCTCTCTCTCTCAGCGAAGGGGGTTATGTTTTCCTCTCACCAGCCACCCAGCTTGCATAAATGGTGAGAGCCCAAGGCAGTGAGATGCTGTGTGTGCTTGCTTGTTCTGCTACGGACTGCTACGACACGATCCATGCAAGGTCCCGCATATATACAGTGTAGGTACATTGGTTTTGTTTTCCTTATCTCATTCCGTGTGAGTTTTCCTGCACGGCGCTCTCGCGACATCCTCCCCACACCACACGTAGGTGGGTATGGTGCAACTGACCGCGCGCAAGAATCGCTTCTGTTTGGTCGCAGGTTCACCAGTTTTTCAGTTAATCTGCCGCAACAGTCGATCGCAGTCGGTTGGTGTTGATGCTGAAGTGTTCCGCTGTTGGGCCACGTTCCCGGAATAGTTATTATTGTGCTCTTGTGTGTACACTTGTTTGCGGGGGTGACGATTTAATTTTAAATCCGTTCAACTAATCACAGCGTGCGACTGCGGCTGGCCATCATACAATCCAGTGACAAACGCACAAGGTGCTAGAAATTAATCCTCAATTCCCGGAAAAATATAAACAATTGCTTCTAATTATCGAAACAAGTCTGATAACGCGGAACAATTTCGGTGTGCAGCAGTTTCCAGTAGCGCTCGGGAACTCGGATACCTAACACTGATGGTGTTCTTTTTGTGTGTGACATCATCACAGATGTTCCAGCAGCGTTGCTGGTGATAACAGAACCGATAATATAGGCAGGCGTCTCGTCGGGAGAGCGTGGGAGGTGTTTGATTTTTGTTTTCGTTTCATTTATGAGTGGCTGCTGTTCAAAAGGCTGTTATAGATAACTCGTTGTGTCGCATATTTGGAGCGAGCTGTGAGATTTTACTGACATCCAAAGGCTGCTGACTGACTACAGTTGAAGTTATCGATTGACCCAAGGTAAGGACTCGGCACCAGCATGTTCAAGGGCGAAGCAGCTCTTGAAGCGTAAGGAATGATCTGGATTTCGATCGGAAATTTCTTGCGAATTAAATTCATTCTCGCACAATAACAACAAAACCAGATAGGGGAACTATTGTGTTGCTTCTCTCGTCATGACCAACGTAGTCATCTCAGAGAAAAAGCAGTAGCGTAGTTGTTGCGTGGTGTACCATCATCAGCATTGTTGACGGCTAATCCCGCCTTGAGTTGTTACATTCAAAGTGTTTTTATGTTACTTCATACGTGAAGTTTACCTAAATTCTTCAAACCTTTCTCTAGATAATAAATCATCACTAAAGTTTCATGTTAGATAGCATTTCCAACCAACTTTGAAAATTTTAAACTTCACGTATGAAGTAACATAAAAACACTTTGAATCAAAACTTGTTTTTTTTTTGTGTTAAACCTTACCCTAATAAAAATTGTATGGTTAATTTGCTTAACGACGTGTTCTGGGTATCATCCAAACCATTTGTGGAATAGTTCAATGATTTGGGTTATCGTTCGTTTATGGTTATTTTTTATTAGGGTATCCTTAACATCAGAAAAATTGCGGGAATCATAGTTTTGGGAATTTCATGATTATTCCGAGAATTTCAAGGAACTTCTAATAACTTCAGAGCTACATGAATCTTTGAAGATCCTTAATATTAGATTCCAATAGTCTCAGGGCATTTCTATAAATTTCATGAAAATTTAATTTTATTAAATTCAGGAAAATTTCAGAAACTGAATTACACATTAAATGACTTCAATTGAGTTTAGAGATTTGTTCTGAAAACTTCAAAATAGTTCCACGAATAACAGGAAAATTGCGGGAACAGCAAGAAAGTTCTGAGAGCTTCAAATATTATTAGATAAATAATTAGAAAAATACCGAGAAATTTCAAAATGTTCAAAAAATTAAAGATTTTCAGAGAACACCAGGGAAGTTAAAAGAACTCAGTGAACATTTCTGAAACTTTACAGAAGCTCCAATAAATCCAATCTGGAAAAAACGTCGGGCAGTTCCAGAAACATCCTCAGAAGGATAACAAGAACTTCAGGATAGATTAGCGAAATTCAGAATGGTCCACATATTTTTAAGAACTTTAAAGATGACCCGATAAATAGAAGGAAATATTTGGAATTTCAAGGACAGACTGCGGGATAATAAGGTACAATCTGAGAACTTCAATAACATTTTGGGCACTTTAGGGAAGCTTTGAGAATTTAAAAGTAGTTCCATCAGCTTCATGGAAACTGCAGGAAATTTTAACAAGTTTGAAAATCGTCTGGCAAGTCAAGAAATGTTCTAGTTCTTGAGATCTTCAGACAAGCTCAGAGATCTAAAGGGCAGTCCCAATAACTTCAGGAAAGTCCTGAATTTTGGATAAGTTTAAGGATCTGTAAAGGATAATTTCTTTAAATAAAAGATAGCTCCATGAATCCAAGGAAAATCCTCCTAAATTTTTTTAATAACACTACTTTCGAACACCCCTGCTTGTTTCAGATGACGTTTAAACAGCTGATTATCACGCTAAATCATTGTTTACATTTCGACCAACAGTTTAGTGTATCGCAAGTGTCCGTTCTTTACATTTCCGTGACAATGCGAAGCATTTCTCCGGAAAAGCGCAAACAGATCGTGTGCAAATGGTGTACCATCCCCAACATTTCTCTGAGTCAATTAGCGAAATTGAAAGGTATAAGCATCGGAGCCGTTCGAAACGCGATTCGGAAGTATGGTGATGAAGCAACTTTCCAAGACAAGCAAAAATCTGTACGTAAACCGAACCCTGTTGACCGAAATCTGGACCGGAAAATCATGCAAGCTTTCACTAACAATAAAAGTGTTTCGGTTCGCGACGTGGCTAAAAAAAGGGATCCTCAAAAGGTCCACCCAAATTAGATCCGTTTGCGTTGCGTTGACGTAAATTTGACAGTTAGACAATAGATTTAGCTGTCACTTTGCCGTAACGCGTCCGATCCGGATCTAATGTGCGTGGGCCTGAAGAGTAACGTCCAGTGGGCCAAGGCAAGAATGGGTCTAAAGACGTATAAGAAGCATAAGAAGCCAAAGTGGAGTGAAAAACAAGCCGCATCCGTCAAATCGAGGGCTCGGAAGCTATACCAACCGGTGGAAACTACCCAAGTAAACAAAAGTTCTGATAAAAGGCTATTTGTGGCTTAATAAGCTTGGTTGGAGGTGGTCTATAGAATTCTAAGCAGCCTCATTTTTAAGTCGTTATAAGAACTTGAAAGTTCCGGTATCAAGGTGAACTTTAATTTGCGAGGAATCGACGGTTAAAGCCATTGTTTACAAAAGCAATTACGCCCCTTTGAGATGTTGACACTGATTTATCTGCTGCTTGCTACTCTATCCATTCCAATCGACAGAGTTGTTCAAACTGTTTGAAAGCGTTTTTACAACGCACCAAACTTCAACTCGAAATCAGCCGCATTTTGTAGTGCGTATATTCCATGTAAAGAAAAATCTGGTAGGGTAAATTATGGCTTCGGCACCCATTGACTGTTTTCGGCAACCGAAATTGAAACGTTTATTTCACTGTATTTTCCCATCAAAACTCTTCGCTGAATGTATTAAACCGATTCCTCACCTTCTTAGCTTCAATCTGATTACATTTTTACGACTGTGCAATCCTGTTCTGCCATATTTTTCTTTAAATGAAATATACACACTACAAAATACGGCTGATTTCGAGTTGCCGATAATAGAACAGTTGGTTAACACGCAGTTCAAATGGAAAGGGTGCCGAAGAAAAAGAGACTGCCGACAATAGTCACACTCACCTGAGAAGTTTGGAGCGTTGTAAAAACATATTCAACCCGTTTTGATCAATTCTGTCGATTGGAATTGGTAGAACAGCAAGCAGCAGATCAATGTCAACAAACAAACCTGTCATGTATGTGTGTGACGCTGAGAAATCGCTAATAGAAGTTCGGACGCTGCTTAGATTGACGAGAATACGTAAATTCCCCTATGAAAGTCGTAAAAATGTAATCAGATTGAAGCTGAAAGACTAAGGAATCGTCAGGGAAATGTTTTGATGGGAAAAAGCATCGAAATTAACGTTTGAATTTTGATTGCCGAAAACAGTCAATGGGTGCCGAAACCGACATTTAGCCTAGTTGATATTAGAATATAAAGCTGATTATGAGCTGTAGCACCATAAGTGGACCCTACACGATTGCTTTTATTGAAAATAATTGTATTGTCAATACGTTCTATATTGACGTTAATACATCGATATTGACCATATTTCTGTATTCACATCTTCAATATTATTGTCAATAATCCCCCTGCGCGTCAATATGTATTGATACGTGTGGGTTTAATATAATAAGCTCTAAATTTACCATGACATAGAGGTATACTATAGAGTTAACCTTCTCTACTACGACACTCACCGGCCGGCTGCTGGTGGGTGGTACTGACGAGCTCACCCGCCTCAATGAGTGACGGGAAAAGCAAGACGGAAAATGTCAAGCGAAGGTGTGTGCGTGAGTGCAGTGTTTGTCAGGAGAGGATCCGTTCAGGCTCCAAGATAAAAGTGATTTTCCCTAGAAAAAGTAAGTAGATTAATCATGTTTTGGATATTGATGAAATGCTAAGTCTTTGCTGGTTCCAAAAGTGTCACAAATTGATTGTTGATGTGAACAGATCGGACGTTGTAGACGAAAATGTTTGTCCAATCATACAAGAGTATCGATTTTTTTCATTCGAGAGGATACCTACCTTCAACGTTTCCCGTTTCGGGGGTGAGCGAACATATTTTCTTGCGAGTGAGTGGTCCTTATCACCCACACAAGTGCACGGGTGAACGAAAACATAACTTTCATTCACGCCAACAGCAGAATCAGTGGCGTGACATGGTGGTGGTAAACAAAACTGACGTGAACTCAACACGGTTACTCTTCTCCCAGGACTTTGTGCGCAAGGAAGGTTAGTTGTTGATGTGGAGGGAAGGTGGAGTGGTGGTTTGCAAAACTAGGTCATCGAAAGAACTCTGAGGGGGAATGGAAAAAAACGTCGAACAGGGTTTGTTTTCCTTCGGCAAGTTTTACCTATACAGCTTGTTTACACGCTGTTGTCATTGAATTGTTAAGCACTTTTAACTTAATTAATTTTAATCTTGTTATTTTAAGCGCATTGTTTTGGTTGACTGTCTGTGCCCAGCATTCCGGCTGTTATAAACTGCATCTGCGATATATGTAGCCTTTTGAATTTTGAATAGTCACAAATCCTCTTAATCGATCAAACGAGCTCAGTAGATAGGGGCTACGGTGGAGGGATGCCCTCATGTGGACGTTATTTTAAGACCCGCAGAAAATTTAACGGTTCCATAGTAGTCTGGCAGTATTAATTGGATAATTTTGCCATTCCAGTCGTCTCCCTACATACATCGACAGTCACGCAATGGTCGTATCGTATTTTATGTGGTTGATTTGATCGTTGTTTTGCTGCTACTTTGTAGTCTACTACATATTGCTTGCACTTCCTTTTTCATATTTTTTTTCTCCATAAATAAAATGCATTCATATCCTGCTCATAGTCGCTCGGCGCCGTACGTCGTAAAATGTTGACAATCACCACCACCACCAACCGATGCGCTACGTTGTTGTCTGAAATGCAAGGCTACACGAATGTACCGTACTCCGGGGGCAAATATTTTTTTTTCCTTGGTTTGTTTTTTCCGTTGATCTTGTTTTCCGTGCACCAATGCTACCGACGTGCCAGGAAGGCAGCTCCCACACCTGGACCCTACCTATCGACCCATCAACTCATGAACCGGGGACCAACGGCTTTACTTCCCATCCGAAGGAAGGCGTGATCAGAGATGTTATGCCTCAGAACATCCCGGCGGCGCCGACTGGGATTGAACCCAGGTTTGCTGGGGTGAGAGGTAATCACGCTTACCACTACACCACCGGCGCCGTTTCCGGGGGCAAATTAA